CATGGCGTCAATCGGCTCGGATTTAGCTGCAAAGACAATCGACTTCAAATAACCGTAATAAAAAGAGTTTAGCGGCATATAACGCCTCGTCTTGTTGAAACTAAATGTCGTCCACATCAACATCCTCCACATCAGACACGAAAAATTCATTAAACATGGCTCTACAGCGTTTCCCATCGACTAATGATTCCCTCTGCCCATATGTAGAGCACACCAAAGAGGGACTCTCTGGTAATGGTTTTGCCTTATTATCCATTCTAATTTTGTTTATTATCGTACCCATTAGAGCAAAAATGTGTATAATTTCTAAACAAAATTATCTTGCGATGCCGAAGTATCTTCACGAAATTTGGCATAGATTATTCTTTAAGGCAATAATGCGATAGCATATAGCTAACATACAAACTGAACGATCGGAATCAAGTTCTCGTAAGAAACCTTTGTAATTGTGAAGGGTATTATAGCTTCGCTGCAACCGAAATTAACGGTTTTTCTTGTTATACTCTCGCAACCTGTTGCTACAGAGTATAATAGTTTTGTTCACCTAACGGTTGTTTGTATCACCTAAAACTAATCGAGTTAGATATAGGGTTATGTATATATAAATGATCAGGATGAAGAGACGAGTTGAAATCCGAGTGACTGTCTGTCCGTCCGTCCATCCGACCGTCCGCCCGTGCAAGCTCTAACTTGAGTAAAAATTGAGATATCTTTATGAAACTTGGTAGACATGTTTCTTTGTACCGTGAGACGGCAGATAATGTAGATGGGCGTAATCAGACCACTGCCACGCCCACAAAACTCCATTATTCAAAAACAAACAAATTGCCATAACTAAGCTCCACAACAAGATACAAGACTGTTACTTGGTACACAGGATCCCATTAGGGAGAGGCATCTGCAGTTAAAATTTTTTTATAAAGTGGGCGTGGTCCCGCCCCTAATAGGTTTAATATGCATATCTCCTAAACCGTTAATGCTATAATAACAAAATTCAGTGGAAATGTTTTTAGAATCTCTACCTACAGTGTGAAAATGAGTGAAATCGGGTGGCAACTTCGTCCACTCCCCATATAACGGTACGATTAAAAACTACTAAAAGCGCGATAAATCAAGCACTAAACACGCCAGAGACTTTAAATTTTATCTCTGGGATGGTATGAGATGACTTTGAAGGGATCGAGCCAAACTTAGACAGTGGGCGTGGCACAGCCTACTTTTAGGTGAAAACCCATATCTTGAGATCTGATTAAATGATTTCAACCAAATTCGGTGCATAACGTTATTTTTATATTTATATGTCATAGTGCGAAAATAGGCGAAATCGGACTACAATCACGCCTTTTTCCCATATAACACCATTTTCAATTCTATCTGATCTCAAACGAGTATACCATTTGACTTTGCGAGAGTATAAAATGTTCAGTTACATCCGAACTTAGCCCTTCCTTACTTGTTTTGGTTATAAATTTGCACGATTTGTAAACGTAGTTTTAGAGTAAGTGTGTGCTTTATGAAATGGCTCGTCAAATTGAGTATAAATCAAATAATGGCTGTCAAAACGATCAACTCTGAAAAAAGTATTGGCCCATTGAAAACCACACGTCTAAAATAAAAAAAAACATCCGCTACTTAAATACACAAATATTTCAATAGTCAACCCCTTCGCCACTTTCTAAATGGACTACTTGCAATTAACATATATACATATGTTATGTAGAAATATGCAACTAGATGTATACACCATACAATGTATTTTGTTTGGCTTTTCGCTTTGCTTTAACTGCTATTTAGAGCTCGAATTGCGCTCGCATATATAAAAGTACTACACACATATAAAATATGTATATACTTGTATGTAGGTATGTATGATATTTTTATTAATGCAATCGGTTATTTAATTGCTCATATGGTTTACTCATGCAATAAAACTTTGGTCAAGAGCACAAAATGCACACACTATTTTTGCATATATACACATGCATAATATACAATATGTGTATATGTACACATACAATATATAAGTGCTAAGTATACTTTGTTTTCTGGTAATAAATTAATGTGATAGCAATGTGATTCCCCTTGTTTAACTAACGCACTAAAGTTTTTTTAATAATTGATTTTGGTGCTTACTCGTGCACGATCAATGAAATATGAGCGTGTGCTTGACGCATCGTATATACTCAACTCTGATCACCAGGCATTCGTGAAACCACGGACATCAGTTTTAATATGAGTATATCGGCTTAACTACTACCAACACTATTGTTAATATTTCCCCACAAACGGAGAGAGAGAAAAAGAGATTAAATACAAATTAAAATCTGAGCATTTCCTTTAAGAAACCATTCAGTATTACTTCTTCTTTTAACTTTTTATTTTCCTGCGACATGCTGCTATAGAGTATACTAGTTTTGTTCACCTAACGGTTTGTATCACCTAAAGCTAATCTAGATAGATATGGAGTTATGTATACAAGTATATGAATAATCAGGATTATTAAATTCCGAATGTCTCTCTGTCTGCTCGTCTGTGCAAGCGATAACTTGAGTAAAAATTGAGATAACTTAACGAAATTTGGTACACGTGTTCCCTGGCAAAAAGTGAGGAAGACTTTGAAGATGGACATACCATTTTGACACCACCTCCGTAAGAATGAAATCGGATGATAACCACGCCCACTATTGATAAACCAATAACATAATGCGTTAGAGACATTAAATTTACATCGGAGATGGTACAAAAGGGTTTAATAGGAGCAGGTGTCAAAATTGGACAATGGGAGTTGCACCGCCCACATTTAGTTAATAACCTACATAACCAATTTCAACCAAATTTGGTACATAAGGTTATTTGGCATTCCTATATAACAGTGCGAAAATGGGCGTAATCGGATATTAATCTTTCATATAACACAACTTTAAATTCGTTCTAATTTTTTTATTTTCCAGTACACAAATCAAGCACAAATTAAAAATATCGGATAAATTTTTGCGCAAATATTTCCTTTAAGGTATGCCATCTGATGTCTAAAAATGTTCAAAATTGGACTAAAAGTATAACTATTCAAGCACCCCAGATACTGAAAATATCTGTCAATCTGTCAGATATATAATGAAATTTGGAGAAAATGTTTTTTTTTGGTAATAATATATCCTTGTGTCAAAAGTGGTTTGAATAGGATTAATACTTCCCTAAATTCCCATATACCTAACATACACATTTTCGAACTTTGTCGAACTTATTTTGTCGAACTTAAACAGCTCGAAAAAAGCAGTCCAAACACAGACATTACAGTTATACCTATATGGTAATTGAAAAAAATCACCTATGATTTCTTATAAATTTATTTCACTCGCGCATGCAATAATTTAAACGAAACTATGCTTATAATATTGATTTTCAGATTTTTTAATCGAAAGCCAACAATCGACACACAGACAAACGGTCCGTTCCACTACAAACTACCGCAAAGAACCCAGCATGAATTTATATGCAAATAATATTTGGAAAAGTTCTCTGTCCTTGAGATGAACAATTGCTGCCACAGCAACAGCAACTAAAGCGAATGCAAATAGAAAATGCCTGTGGGTATAATAAAAATCAATGCTTTAATACATTTTTATTAGAGCGAAAGCACCGCACAAACGCCACTCGCAATAATATGCTGTCAACACAAATCAAACGCTTCACTGACTCTTTCTGGGGTCATTCAGCATCAACTGTGGCCAGACTTTTGATATTTGGTACTACATGACGGCAAAATTTCTCTACCCATCGCTAGGAGTCTGCTGTTCGTCGGTCTCAGCATTGCACTTTAAATTCGAATGAAATATGATGGCGTGAGTAACGCACACAGGTTGGCCTGATTGATGATTATGCAGGATGGCTTTGGCTGTCAGTTAGTGGAAAAACTTTGTGCACTAAATAAATGGGATTATATAATTTGAAATTTTAAACAAAAATATATGTTTTAAGAGAAAGTTATTGCTATGCCCGTCAGATGTGCTCAGGTGAGCAGATGCGAATATTATACTCGCTCAAAAACATGTACATTCATATGCACTTCAATAAGCAGTATTTATTTTTTGGTAATATAGGATTATGGAATCCATTTTTAATGCAATCCGTTCAGAAATTTAATTTCATTTTAGAATTTTCGCGTTGTATGCCACTGCTTGGCAAACATAAAGCTTCTTCTAAAGGTTTCATCTACCCGGATGGTTGAATATGCCAAGGTGACGCAGTATTAAAGTAACGATATTTTCAAATTACTATTTTTTATTTAATTTTTACCGACCGAATCAAGAAATGTCTTAAGGAAATAGATTTAACACGATCACAAAGTATGCGCAAAATGTTTGCATTGAATATTATCTCCTTTTAATTGAACACTAGAATTGAAATTAAGTATTTCAATCGTATTATCAACTGTAATAAATTTCCACTTATTCTATCTGGCGGTTACAACATCAACTTCGCTAATAAAAAAATCCGAGCGATTGATAACTTTTCTTTCGGACAAAGTGAATTTGAAAAAAGGGGACCACCCTTGACGCGGTATTTTCCACATATTTAGAGGATATCAAGTCTCAAACTTATGTTTCTTATTTCAGTTACCATAACCCTATAGTTTCTCACTGGAAATGAAAGCACAATTGCATCACAAAATCACAAAAACGGGTTTAAATAGTTTTTGAATATGTTTAATGGATACATGTATAATAATATTTAATATTAATAAATGTCTTGTATTTTAATTTAAATTGCCAAAAATAATGTTTTGTTCTGAATAACCTATATGTATTGTAAAAAAATACAAATATTTGAAAAAATATTAATTTTATTCAATAAATATTACTTATAGGACACCACGCTCAAAAATTCTAACTTGAACATAATTTAATTAGAAAAAACTTGAAGCAATATCAAAGAAAAAAAATACTGCAAAAACAAATTAAATATATAATTATAATTGCATAAGTTGATAAAAAATGTTATTCAATAGCTTTACCGCGGCAATCGTTTTATTTACTAAAATATATTATCATTAAATCAGGTAATATATCTGAGAGTACAAATAAGTAGTTAACAACTAACGTCTTAATATAATTCTCACATTTTATTGTGTCTTCTCCTTAATATCTTTTCGCGCAAGCGCAAATTGCAACCAACCCCATATTGAACGTATCAGCAACATGGTCAGCAGAATTACTAAAGACAGACCACCAAATAAGATCAGCATGCTATCTATACTATGATATTGTATGAAACTCAAATCCTGTCCGACGCAATGTAAGTGCTTGGCTCCCTTATGTCTCACCACATATTCTACCCAATAGGCAGCCAAGTCTAACGGATTGATTGGCTGATCGCGATAAATCGCTGAAACAGCCGCAACACGCTTCGCATAGCTGTCATCATTCAACATACGTTCAATGGCGGCTTTGAATTTATCTCTCGTGAAACTAGCGTAGTCCATACTTATGCCATAACCGCCAGCTTCGGCGCGATTCATATTGAGAAACTGATCAGCAAAGATCGGTATGCCAATAAAAGGTTTGCCATGATAAATGGACTCTGTGGTGCTGAGTAAACCGCCATGTGTAATGAAGAATTTCACATTCGGGTGTGCCAAAATATCGTCCTGTGGAAACCATTCACTTATATATACATTATCCGGCTTGCCCTCGAGTTGCGGATCTTCGAATTTCCATAGTATACGCTGTTTTAAGCCACGGAATGTTTCAAGTATTGCCTGACGTTTTTCTAAAGGCAAAAACTTACTACGCAAATAGGATCCCATTGAGAAATAGATGACTCCATGTTTCGATTCATTGATGAATCGTTCCAAATCGACAGGTAGTGGTGAGCGTTTTCGATTAATGTGCATGCCTCCAACTTCGATCTGATTATGGACATATGGACGTGGAAAACTGAGCGACACGTGCTGATTGAGCAGCACTAATGCAGCGTTGCGACGCACCTCGTACATATCACGCTTGTTGCGTGGAAAGAATTCCCTATAAATCGCTGCTTGTTTCGGCAAATAATATAGATCGAGCAACAAACGTTCGAATATATTATATGCAAAGTTGCCCACACGTTGCCACAGCGTCATGCGATCATTGAATGGCAACATAGCGCTTGCCACGTATGAAGGGGGGCTGGGTGATCCGACCTGTTATATTAAACAAAAAATCAAATTAAATATTAATTTTGCATTATAATAATTTGTTTTCTCGTTAGAATATCTACCATATCTGTGTTCCAGGGATGTGCGCCAAATGTGCTAAACCTATTAGTGGCACATTGTAATGTTCACTTAGACCATATAGCGCTTCAGCGAGAAATATTCACAAATAACAGCATCGAAGGTTGATTACTAGCAATTAGCGCTTGTACATTGCTTTCTTCTAGAAATGTGCGCGTCATATTAAGACCCATTTCATGGAAATTCCATATGCCCTCTGTAATACTCCCTCGGTGGTTTGCAAAAGGAACCTCCCGCGGCTATATATAGTAGATATCAATTAATTTATGGACACATATTGTTAAAAGTTAAAATAATTAATTCAAATAACAAAATTATTTTAACCTTAAAAATTAGACAATATTTAAGAATGGATATTGCTGGATACATTTTTCCTGTCTAAAATAGTAATCTTTTACGAAAGTTAGTGATCTTAGCGTTTTGTTGTATTTAGTTCTATATGTTTTTGTTTTATTGGCTAAGAAATAACAGGAATTACTTGGCTTAAGTAATATGTTACCATAAAACAGAAAGTTTAGTCTTCAACTGAATGGCGAATATTAAAGCTGTTACTGTAAGAAAACTATAGACTTTGACAAATAGCCTTTGGATGAACCGCCTCCTAGGAACATCAAGAGGTCCTCCTTACTACGTCGACGGCATTGAACAGTTCGCCAACAAACTTCAGACATGCACTGATCGCTATTCACAGTGAAGCCTTAACACCTCTCACCGGCCTTTATCAGTGAAAGGCGTACTTGAGTCTTACTACCGCCATTGCAGACGAAAGCTCGAGTTGCCACGGTATCCCGAGTGACCCTTGCACAACTTCATTATAGGTACTGTAGCAGGTTAAGCCCTACTTATCCAGAATCGACTCCGACGTACCAAATATACATATGTCGAGCATGCAACGAGTATTCACATGACACTAACCACCTCTTTACATGCTCTACGAATCCCAATTATCTAACAGCTTTCTCCGTATGCTCCAACCCCGTCGACACAGCTCGTTCGGCCTCCGTTAGATAATTTCGAAGACAATCAAACTGAACCTTACCATCCAAGCGGGAGTAGATAACCATTACAACAACAGTAACATTAACAATATTACCAGAAGACGGTTGTCTCCAAATTTGGTGAGCAATCAAACTCGGAAACTTAAGATAGTGACTAACATTTTACTGATTATCCCTGCTTTAATTATCATACTTTGCTGGTAAAATAATGGTGATGATGCCAGAACTATAGCATAGTGGTTCGATATCGGCAGTTCCAACAAATAAGCTGGCGAAGAGATTGCAGAGAAATGGGCGTGTGTAAATCGCCCATGTAAGATTGATATCTTAAAAACTGTAGGACTAGTTCGCATATACTATAGATACAGACAAACGGATAGACGGGCATGTCTAAATAGACTTAACTATATATATTTGCTAGAAATGAAATTAATTACATATGTTAGCATCTATTTGAAAAGTCTACAATATGACAATGTTAGGCGTCTAACATTCCAACTTTGTCTAGTAAATTTATTACCGCTAAATTTTCACGGTTGGACAGTGTTTAGTAATAGATTAGCTGTAAAATTTCTAGTACGGCGCCCAAAATGCTCGTTTAAGAATACACTTTCATATGATATGAGATATATATAAAATTAATGTTCACTTAATATTGTTTCATTCTGGATGCCATTCCTAATCGAGTGCTTTCGCAACATCTAAGAAATCCCTTGCGCAGTGCTGCATGCATGCAAAAGAATGCGATGGTATTGCTTAGTGGTTCCATGTTACCGGTTATTTCAGTTCTCTAAAATAGGCAAAATTCTTCTTAAAGGAATTATTAAAGGAAGTTTTAACTAATTGGATGGTATGAAGAAAGGCGGTTCTGGTTTATTGGGTTTTTGGAGACATTGTTATTTAGCGCATATCCATTGACTTCGGTAGAGGTTGTGTCTGAGTAGAGCATTGTAGGAAAATGTAAGAAGTCTCGCACATTTTTTAGATAGGTATTTAACACTAAATCAATCAGTTATATCAAATCCAGACGATATTTTAAGTTTAAGTATTTGGTTGACTTCCAAAGGTTATGTTCAGGAATGTTTGCATGCGTATCTAAATTCTATAGAATTTGATTTGCTGTCTATTGGTATTTTATTTCGCATAGTTTCGAGTTCATATCTTTAGTTACTTTGTCTAACATTCTTAACTCTTTTATTAGCCGTTTCTACAGAATATATAGTAATGGTGTTTTGACGTGATTTGCTCTTTAAAGTAAGTAAAAAGCAATTCTGCGTAATGGATGGCCTTTGTAAACTTCTCCACTACTAAGTCTATCTCATCGCTAGACATTTGCGCTATATCCAAACTAGTGATAACTATTGAGAATTCAAACCAGTTTTTAAATATAACATTATCCGTATTTTGTGTAATAATTTTTCAAGGTTTTTTTCCCACTCGACGCGTTTCTTTTTGGGTTAATTTGGGTTAATTATGTGTGGAAACCTATTAAGGATGCTAACCGTTATAGTCCGTAATTGCAATGAATGCTTACCTAGCTTTTGAAAAAAATAGTTTTAGTCAGGTACACTGTTGCTGTAGTTATATAAATATGCATACCTTTAATTTGAAGAGCGCCGTTTTGTATATTTATTAAGTTAATGCTATTTACTTTCTAGCATTTGAGTGTATTTACAACAAATAATGCAGACCCACCGTGTGCTTTGTCGGATGGGTGGTTAGAAATAACAGTACTAGTACAAGTATGTCATTGACAAAATAACTAGATTACTGAAACTTATCTATGACAAGTCTCAATGAGCGATGTTTCACAACTGTTCGTCTGTTATATTATTGAACGATTAAGTCTATTATAATATCAAAACTTAATTGATTTGTACCAAATCTTATACTTATATACTTGTTTAAGTGAAAATATTATATGACACAATCCCGGTCATGAATTCTATTTACACAGCAATCCATATATATTTAAATGTGGCCACTAAACTCACAGTCCATTTGTGCCGATTTGTATGTTTCTATATAAATATAATTCTCCAGCGGCTTCTTTATTGAAATGGTGAAATGACAGTAACCTGTGACCCTACGCGCCAGCTCCTTGAATAACGATGAGCCGACGATGTGATGCGATCTGATCCGGCTATGAAGTACGCCTAAGAAACGGTAGGCCTGCAAATTGCTGGCACACAGCAGCATAGCTATGGCCATTAAAAATCATATGAGTAAATGCATTTATTTACTTAAGACTCACAACAAAACACACAATTAAAAATATGAATTTATGTAAACTGTTTAATCGTTAAGTTATCAAAATTATTTTACAATTTCTCTATAACTAAAAACTACAATCACTGTTTCGTCGATGTTTGCCCGAATTGATTTCTCGTAGGTTGCTGTGCATCATAAGCATATGAATTGACTGACCAACGTCAATACAGATGTGCCGTTATTTATTAACTCATTGCCAACTGATATCTACAGCGAACGCTTCTATTTTGTGCTATTTTGCATTGCTCTTTCGCACTATTTTATCTCTGAAATGCATTTAAGTACAACATTAAGTATTATTCAAAGCACTCTCTTGCTGATAACAAGTTTGCGCAACCCTTAGAAAATTAGTGTTACGCGCAATAAATTCATTACAGCTCATAAATATTATTTGTGTTATGCTATGTATAAAACCCTAACAAACATTAGCAGAGATATAATTAATATATCCGATCTTACAGCTGGGAAACTACTATAGCTTGCAAACAACAAAACATAGCACGAAAATTCATAACACAAAAACATTGCATCGCATGACAGTGATATGTTTCAAAGTGAACTACACGGAACGATTTACGCACCGTGTCTTGTTTCGTTAAATTACAACGTTTATTCAATTTTCAAAATCCCTTAATACCTATATCGAAAGACAGTTCCATGTGGCGTCGTTTTTCTAATTTTCATAAAAATACTATTCGATAAAGTTGAGTTGTCTTGGTACACCAGCACGGTAAGGTCATACCATCCCAACTCCGTGAAGTGCATAGCTGCCAAGAGCTGCTATGAAACGCACTATAACACCTGTTTGCGACAGTTGCCACAATTGACGATCATTACAATATCTATTTACATAATAGTACCGCCAAGAAACAAACAATTTTTATTTAGATTAAAAACATTGCATATAGTTATTATCTTTCAAAGCAACTACACAATTATAAACGGATAATTTATAACATAAGAATTAATAATACAAGTTTTCACTATTACATTAATTGCAATAATTTAAAATAATTCTCACACTTTAATTGTGTCTCTCCTTATATCCTTTCGCGCAAGCGCAATTGCAACCACCCCATATTAAACGTATCAGCACATGGTCGAGAATTGCTAAAGCCAGACCACCAAATAAGATCAGCATGCTATCTAACTATGATATTGTATGAAACTCAAATCCTGTCCGCGCAATGTAAGTGCTTGGCTCCCTTATGTCTCACCACATATTCTACCCAATAGGCAGCCAAGTCCAACGGATTATTGGTTGATCGCGATAAATCGCTGAAAAGCGCCAAACGCTTCGCATAACTGTCATCATTCAACATACGTTCAATAGCGACTTTGAATTTCTCTTCGTGAAATAGTGTAATCCACACTTATGCCATAACCGCCAGCTTCGGCACGATTCATATGAGAAACTGATCGCCGAAGATCGGTATGCCAATAAAGGTTTGCCATGATAAATGGACTCTGTGGTGCTGAGTAAACCGCCATGTGTAATGAAGATTTCACATTCGGGTTGCCAAAATATCGTCCTGTGGAAACCATTACTTATATATACATTATCCGGCTTGCCCTCGAGTTGCGGATCTTCGAATTTCCATAGTATACGCTGTTTTAAGCCACGGAATGTTTCAAGTATTGCCTTACGTTTTCCAAAGGCAAAATTGCTACGCAGTTGGACCCATTGAAATAGATGACTCCATGTTTCGATTCATTGATAAATCGTTCCAAATCGACAGGTAGTGGTGAGCGTTTTCGATTAATGTGCATGCCTCCAACTTCGATCTGATTATGGACATATGGACGTGGAAAACTGAGCGACACGTGCTGATTGAGCAGCACTAATGCAGCGCGACGCACCTCGTACATATCACGCTTATTGTGCGGAAAATTCCTTATAAATCGCTGCTTGTTTCGGCAAATAATATAGATCGAGCAACAAACGTTCGAATATATTATATGCAAAGTTGCCACACGTTGCCACAGCGTCATGCGATCATTGAATGGCAACATAGCGCTTGTACGTAGAAGGGGGCTGGTGAACCGACCTTTTTTTATTAACAAAAATAAAATAAAATATTTAATTTGCATTAAAGTAATTTGTTTTCTCGTTAGTTTATCTACCATATCTGTGTTCCAGGGGTGTGCGCCAAAGGTGCCTAAACCTATTAGTGGCACATTGTAATGTTCACTTAGACCATATAGCGCTTCAGAGAGAAATATTTCACAAATAACTGCATCGAAGGTCTGATTACTAGCAAGTAGTGCTTTAACATTGTCTTCTTCCAGAAATGTGCGCGACATATTAAGACCCATTTCATGGAAATTCCGCACATTCTCTATAACACTCCGCTCACTAATTTGCAGAAGAAAAGCTGCGGAGCCTGCGAATAACAGATGCAAATATATACAAGTATAAAGAAAAATATTTGTTTTTATTTTAAGTTACTAATTTTTCGACTCTTAGCTGTAATGTTAAGAAACATGTGTATATTAATCTAAATATAGTTGTAGGTAATTTTCAGTTCAACAACACTTCCTTAAAAAAAAAAACACTTGTGAAAGTAATAACAAAATTGCCTAGTCAAAGCACAAGTGATTATAATGTTACCTCGTAAAATTGTATAAGAGCTTTGTTAATATATTTTTAATTATCAGTCAACTCTTATATGCATGACAGTTATATGTTTTTATGCCGCTCTCTATATTGAAGTTTTTAATATCATAACTGCGATCATACTAAACATCATATATACATACATATAACTATGAATATAATATAATACGAAATATAAGTTTAACTGCTATAATATATATACGTATTTGTCAAAGCGTTGAACGTGGAAGGGTATTGTTTTAATTACATTTATAGAATTGCCAAAGTTTAGTATGGAAAAGTTGAAAGATCATTTATTGGAAAGTGAATCGACGAAAAGTTTTGATAGTCGAAACTTTCTTAGGTAACCATAGCTGTTTTTTATGCTTCATGTTTTCCGAGTTTTGTTATGTAAAATGAAAATGCATATTTAAAAATAAGCGAGAGCTAATCTTGCACTTTAAATGCGTTTTTCTAAGACCAGACTTTTTCAATAAGATAACCACGATTTATTTAAACTTTTCAGAAAATCTTTTTTATAGACCTCTCTCGAGTATGAACTAGCCGAGTTTCCAAATTTCAATTTTTATTATTTTTAAAAAATACGAGAAAATAAAAAAAATGTTAAAATCGTTTTTCAAACATACGCAATTTTGTCAAACGAAAATTTTTACTTACTTACAATAGCGATATGATTGCAGATTGATAATCTTTTTTTCTCATTTTAGATGACTAGGCGTGTTGAAAACATGGGTATGCTTATGTATCAATTTTTTGAGACCCCCGACTACATCATCTGCCAGTTTTTTAAATTTTTAACTTTTATATAGTAGAAATATTGATTGCGTTGTTTTTGCGACACTTTAGAAATTACCTAAAATTCATGTCTCTAGACTAGAAAACCCCCTTAATACAAAATAATTGCAAAGTGCACTTGTACCTTGTGCATGTCTATGCATATACACACTGAAAGTTTTTCAATTAACAAGGTTACTTACATACATAGCTAAGTTGCTATTTGAACACTTGTTTGCTTATAATCGCGTACATAAGTCTACGTATATGCTTATTCATGCATGCGCTGCGGTTATCGCACTGAATTGCACTTGAGCTTTTACGAAAAACAAAGAAAAAATATTTGCATTGCCGGCAATATTACATGCATATCTTTTAATTGATTGCATAATGATTTTAATTTTTAAGTAACGACAAATAATACTTAAGCTCTTAAGTTTATAGCACTCACTCTCCATGACTGCCTTTATTCTAGGTGTTTCTATGTCGACATAATTCTCCAGCGGCTTCTTTAGTGGAAATGGTGAAATGACAGTAACCTGGTGACCTCTACGCGCCAGCTCCTTGAACAGCGATGAGCCGACGATGTGATGCGATCTGGCGCCGGTATGCAGAATGCCCAAGAAGCGGTAGGCCTGCACATTGGCGGTACACAGCAGAGCTGTGACCATTAATATGACACTTAGTAAATGCATTTATTTATTTCACAATCACAACAAAATGCACACAATAAATGAAGTCTAACGTTGGTAAACAATTGAATTGTTAAGTAATTAAAAAAAAGGTTCTCTTATTTTCGCAATTTTACACAATTAAAAACTACAATACTACAATTGCGTCGATCTCTCTAAAATTTCCTATATTTAATCGAATGTTACGCATTTTAAGAGTAGTGACTGACTGTCCACCGTCAAAACCAATATTCCGTTATATATCTGCATATATATATATGGTTAGATTTGTGTTGCATTCACAGCTGTTTGTATATTTGTAAGCACTTCTGCAAGTTCTTGTTCTATAGTTGAGTATATCTACATACAAACCTACATATTTACGTATTGTATGTGGCTATACTCTTCCTGCTCGTGCACAATGTTTACTGTAATCTCAGCTGCTACTGAGAGAACCGCCAATCGACTGTGAGCGAAGCGTCAAAGAGTGCAATATAATAATTGTATGAGTAATCTGCCCAGTAATTACAGTAAAGGTTATAAATGTGATATCATTTATTGATATAATCGTTAGTGCTAATGTATGTAAGTATATGCGCGCATATTCCACAATTAAAGTTTATCGATTGTTTTAGAGCTCGCGCTTTTCTACTTAAAGCTGTACATTTAAAGCTGCTTTGAGATTTAGACAGACAAAAATGTTTTCTCTTAGTCGGCATCAAATATTCCCAAAATATTTTTAAGCCAATATACGTTGTATATATATACATATATACATACATATATATAACCAATTTGTATTATACATATCTGCCGGCTCTTCAAATATTTATCTTCTGAGCTTTTATAAATTTTAATGTTCTTAATCTAGTAGAGCACCCTAATATAGACGCTTACATATTTTAGGGTCGTGTGTTCCAAAAATAACAGAAACTCACTTATGCTTAAACACTGAACACATAGACGACGGCAAGCGCAGGCAGCATCTGTCAAATATTGAAATACCCACGTTCTTAAGAGCACAGCTATTTAGACAGCAGCACGATTTAACGGAAACAGGGGGTTTGCAGCTGTCGCTAAATTAAAGCCATTTCTAGTTTTGTCGACGAGAATGGGCAGCTGTATTGTTGCCACTAATATGTGAAATGTAAAATTATTCAAAGCTCTAACAAGTCTAAAGTTATTTTACGAACATACTATGATATACATATGTATCATTTGTACTAAGAATTGATAATTTAAAACAATAAATCGAACTGGCAACAACGAAATTGTGTACATCAGCTGTTTGATATGTCGCCGTCTGCCGTTTTCAAAATGATCAAAATGCTGGCTTAAAGATGATATTTGCCGACAAGAAAATTTCGCTGTCGTGCAGTCGTCTTTGTGTTCAAAGCATTACACCCGTTCTAATATCAAAACATGATCAATAATATAATTTAGAGAAACTTTCAATGATAACCTGACATTCTCTTTTAATCGCGCGTAAGAGAATGCTTTATTATGGTATGCACCCCTACACATGTGTCTTATACAAGTACACTCTGGTATTATGATAAAGCTTTCTTATAGTAAAGAGTATATTGCATGCGAAATGAGGAGAGAGTTATTATATGAGTATAAACTCAACCTTAACAAGTAAGGAAGGGCTAAGTTCGGATGTAACCGAACATTTTATACTCTCGCAAAGTCAAATAGTATACTCGTTTGAGATTTCTTTGTGGATTGGCTGATATTTTCGGTAGAAGGTCAACTATAGGCACTGGGGTCCACATATTTAGTACTTAGGGGCTTAAACAGTTTTGGTTCGATTTAGACAATTTTTGGCCACAAGGTGGCATACTTTAATCGCATTATTCACGCAAAGTTTTATCCCGATACAGTCATTGTTGCCTGATTTGAATAGTGGAAAGTGAAATAATCAGATGGAATTTAAAATGGTGTTATATGGAAAGTAGGCGTGGTTGTAGTCCGATTTCGCCCATTTTTGCACTGTGACATAGAAACATGAAAAGAACGTTATGCACCGAATTTGGTTGAAATCAGTTAAGCAGATCTCAAGATATGGGTTTTCACCTAAAAGTGGGCTGTGCCACGCCCACTGTCTAATTTTGAACGCGGTTCCTATAAAGTCATCTTATACCATCTCAGAGATAAAATTTAATGTCTCTGGCGTGTTTAGTGCTTGATTTATCGCGCTTTTAGTAGTTTTTAACAGTACCGTTATATGGGGAGTGGGCGGAGTTGCCACCCGATTTCAACTATTTTCACACCGTCAATAGAAGTGCTAAAAACATTTGCTTCCAGTGAATTTTGTTATTATAGCATTAGCGGTTTAGGAGATATGCACATTAAACCTATTAGAGGCGGGACCACGCCCACTTTTTAAAAAAAGTTTTAACTGCAGATGCCCCTCCCTAATGTGATCCTGTGTACCAAATAACAGTCTTGTATCTTATTGCGGAGCTTAGTTATGGCAAGTTATTTGTTTTTGATTAATGGCGTTTTGTGGGCGTGGCAGTGGTCCGATTACGCCCATCTGCAATACCAACCGTCTCACGGTACCATGAAACATGTCTACCAAGTTTCATAAAGATATCTCAATTTTTACTCAAGTTAGAGCTTGCACGGACGGACGGACGGACAGACAGTCACCCGGATTTCAACTCGTCTCTTCATCCTGATCATTTATATATACATAACCCTATATCTAACTCGATTAGTTTTAGGTGATACAAACAACCGTTAGGTGAACAAAACTATTATACTCTGTAGCAACAGGTTGCGAGAGTATAAAAATTTTATGAGATCACATATTTGGCAAGTAATGCAACGACAGGGATAAGCAATGACTTTTAAATTTTTATATAGCATTATCGGTCACAACGAATCATTTTTGAGAAACAAGAAATAAAAATAAAAACAAACAAAAAAGAAAACGGCATATTACAACAACTTATGAATTACTGGATTTACAATATTTTCTTGTTTTATTGTACTTTATCAAAATTGTTTGCTGTGTGTTTAAAAATAACTTTAACATTTCGATGATTGTATGTATGTCAGTATATACATAAGTATAACTGTATACAATGTATATCACAAAAGTTATCTGCTTATATGTATATTCTTAATACAGGTTATTGTTTACTGTTCATTATGTTTTGTCTTACTATATAATTTAATTCAAATTATTTTGTTGAGTATAGACTTCTATATTACATCTACATTCATTTAGCTATAAAAGTAAGCCAAGCGCTACAAAATTTTAAATTGAGGCAGAAGTATTAAAAAGAGATGAAAATATGGTTGATGACTATGAATAAAACAGCTCGTTATTTATTAACTGAAGATATTCGTTCTCAAACGCTTCGATTGTTGCCCACAAAAATGCCGTTTCGTTACTTGGTGTGGTTTTTTATACATTTTGTTGCATTAGTCGTTTAATTTTAATTTACAGAAGAATATTTGAATTTCAAGAAGATCTTAATATTATCTATGGTTAAGATTAAATAATTTCAAGATAAAATTTATAACTACGCTTGCCGAGTCCTCATATGGAGACATTTTTTTAAAACTGAAGCAATGCTTCATGGAGTATGACGGGACGGTGGTATAAAAAATGCAAGGACAACCAGTATGAATTGCATTTCAATATGTTTTCTTTACTAGGTCCTTAAGCGGTCTTGCACCAACGTACCGTCCATATCAACATAATCACAACTTACTCATTAGAGGTAACGATTAATTTTGGGGAAAATATTAAATATTTTTAACACGGAACATAAATGATCAGCATGACGAGCTGAGTCCATTTAAAACAATTTCTTGGGAAATACCATTGTTGTCTTAGATAATGATGCGTTTCAAATATCTCGTCAAATGAAAACAGTTTTCATGCAAGCACTTAACTCCATTCGTTCGGCGGTTCCGACAAATTAATAGCTTCTTCGGGAGTATAAAACATGTTCAAAGTTTCAAAACAATATTTCAAAATCTGAGGGACTAGTTCGCGTATATACAGACAGACCGACATGGCTAAATCAACTCAGCTCGTCACGGTGATCATTTATATAGGTATACAAGTATGCTTTATAGGGTCTCCGCCGTGTTCTTTTGGATGTTATAAACTTCGTGGCAAATCAATATAACCTGTTTAGGGTATGAAAATGGTTGACAGAATATTGCAGAAATTTAAGCAATGTGTTTTGCCAAAATAGGCAAATAAGCAAAACGAAAATGAATACGCAGCTAAAGCGCAACACAGACGAAAGCTATGCCGTCTAGGCACATTTCTGGAGCGCGTTTATTTTTTTGCACAGAAAAGTTACACAAATTGAAAACAAACAAAGGACCGTATGCAATGCAAAAGGAAAAGCAGCGCACGGAAATGAATTGAAAAGCAAGGAAATGAGTAGAAAACTTATATAGACAATAAGTGTGTGTGAAATCAACTTCGAGCTAACGAAACGACACGATGCTAACAGAAGCAATAACTGGCAAAGCGCTTATTTGCAAATCTCATATATATACACATATATATATATATATATACATATATTAGTCTAGGTAAAAAAAAAAAAAAGAATGCGTTTTTTCGCTTCGTGCTCTGATAGATAGGTTCTTAGGCACCTCTAAGATAATCTTCCCGTTACTATTAAGAGCTCATACTTGGAATAATAATTTTTCAGAATACGGAGCGAAATAAAAAACACTTTTTTTGTTTTGAACCACCCTAATATACATATATATTTAGGTATGTACACTTGCACACATATGCGTATGTAAATTTATTTTCATATTTTGAAAAGCGCATAATGTCGCTTCCGCCGAATATTTTATTTGTATATTACTGCTTACATATTCATTTCTTTATGAACAGGAAGCAGCGAAAAATATATGAATTCGAAGAAAAATATATCAGAATGTACATATATGATTGATTTTTCGCTATTTGGAAAAAAGTGTTTGCTCGCGTTTAAATAGACGTGTGTATAGATATACAGACACACTTTGAAGCATACAAAAAAATTTGCTGGAATAATATGACAATAGCGCAGAGAGAGGAAGAAAACGTCAATAAATGATGCAGGAAAAGTAAAGTTTCACTACGGTTTCGAACTGGCCGTTAAAATGTATAAGCTATAGACTCATAAGTCGTAATATAAGAGATTGAGAGTTTTCTAATCACTATTTAGCCCACAAGCTGTCGACGTCTAAGACAACTGTTGGCTGTTACAGCTTCGAGGTCATCAAGCATTAAGAATAAAGTTGATGTGAATTTGATGCTAAAATTGCAAGAGAATTGCCAGATAGCTCTTCTTGGATTGAATAAAGTTTAAAAAGTATATGGTGCACCACTTTCGTGTACCAAACTCGAACTGTAAAGGAAAATAATAACTAGTATTATATTCTCTCTAACCTTCCACCGTCATTGCCAGCAATTATGGCAGTTGTAATACCGTGAGCAGGGTATATTAAGTTTGCCA